AGAAGAGAAGATTTTTTGCTCCCTCTTAGACCCCTCCGCCGACGCAAACCATTACCTTAGAAGTAATTTTCCATCGAGCAGTTTGAGGGAATTCGTTTATTTCCACCTCGTCTTCATATCGTTCAGCCTCTACTTCTTTCTGATCTTGTTCTTTTGGTTCTTCTTGTGGTCCTTCGTAGTTCAATTTGCTGTGAATCTTCTCCGCCAGTTGTTTTGCCAGATCAAGACCCTGTGGAGATATCATCAAATTTTTTACATTAAATTTTCAACTTTTCCTTTGTGCGGCTCACGTCATTGGTTTGAGCTCGCGACTTTTTAGCTTTCTTGTTTACAATAAAAATGGTTGTTTTTCAGGCACTCTTTCTCAGTTTTTTTGTTTCGTACAATAAACTATTTATTGTGGGGCTCAAAAAATATACGGCTGCTTTCACTCGTAAAATTATCCGGCTGTAATACACAACTAGCAGTGTAATAACCTCTATGTATCAATATAATTGTAATTGCCTGTTTTCACGTCAAAACATCAAAATCTAAACTATTGATGGTATAAACGCATTTCTCAAGCATCAAAATAGTAAAATAATTTACTCTAGTTGAAAGATTTTCCCTAAGACACGTTTTAAATATCTATTTAAAGTATATTTAAGTGAAATATAGTCAAAAATATTAAATATTCCATCATTTTAAGCTTTTGAAATTTCGTCCGCCATGATGGTGTACCAACTTGGAACGCCAAGATAGCCGCTCCATACATGTTAACCAACAATTGCGTCATGTTTACTCGCCTCTAGTTCCGCAACGAAATGCTTTACAGCCTCAAAATTTGGCTAGAATATGTWGTTTTGACTGCTTTGCAAGATTATGAAACTTTTATTTCATGATAATGCGAATTTACGCTTTCGAAATAATGAATTATGTGAAAACCAAGAAAACCAGATAATTCTGATAACGTACCGTTAGTGCAGTAACAGTTCCACCCTTGATGATCTGACTAGCTGCTTGCTGTGTGGGATCTAAAGTCTGCAATCAAAAGCGGGAAAACGACGCGATTAAACTTTGAAGTGACTATATTGAACATTGGAAAAATCTTGCAGGACATTGTTACATACATTGGTGCCAGCACTGATCTTCTGGTTGATTTTAGCAGCGATACTCGCAGCGAGGTTTAATTTTGCTGAAAATGAAAGTGAAAAATAAATGAATGAATGAATGGAAATGAATGAATGGGAATAAATGAATGAATGAAAGAATGAATGGGAATGAATGAATGAATGAATG